CCACCCACCCCCCCACACCATCAGCAACGTAACAACATGTGACGTAGCAACGATCCCAGAGATCTCTACAGCGTAGCAACATGAAATGTACGAAGTGCAAGGAACGTAAACATCCCACCCCACCCCCCCACACCATCAGCAACGTAACAACATGTGACGTAGCAACGATCCCAGAGATCTCTACAGCGTAGCAACATGAAATGTACGAAGTGCAAGGAACGTAAACATCCCACCCCACCCCACACCACACCATCAGCAACGTAACAACATGTGACGTAGCAACGATCCCAGAGATCTCTACAGCGTAGCAACATGAAATGTACGAAGTGCAAGGAACGTAAACATCCCACCCCACCCCACACCACCCCACACCATCAGCAACGTAACAACATGTGACGTAGCAACGATCCCAGAGATCTCTACAGCGTAGCAACATGTAATGTACGAAGTGCAAGGAACGTTAACATCCCACCCCACCCCACCCACCCCCCCCACCCCCCCAAAAGAAAACACAACACGCACATGGCACATCAAAACACGCAAACCGCCTGGGGTCGTTAGAGGCGGCGTGAGCCAAAACAACTATGAAAAAACACACAATTTGCGACTTCATCTTCCAGCTTTGCTGTTCCAATCCCCACTTCTCCGAGTTCATCCTCATGTTGGACGCTAGAAACTACTTTTTGCTTCAATCATGAATCTTGTGGGTAGACGCTTTTCGGGTGCCGTCTGAACTTACAGATCCTAAACTGAATTCGGGTCTGAAAATAGGTACCCCTCAATCCCCATTTTGATCTCCAAAGATGTTACCCACCATGGGCGATCCCCAGCTGCTAAGCAGACCCTGTCTAGGCCAGAAAAAAATGCGCTGCTGTAGCGCCAGAGCCACGGTCTGCACGGAGAGACCTCCCCGCGCTTCAAAAACTGCGAAAACGCAGGGGGCAAACCATCATAGTGGAATATAGTGGAATGGTAGTACATTCCCATCAGAATTTTGGAGGGTTTATTGAAAAGAAATCGATCTTGATGGAGATATCTACTATCCAGTTTCTATCTTTTCTTGAGACGGGTATCTAAGATTGGCCAAGGTTGAGGATTAGTCGAGCAACTTTGGCATCTCAGTTTGCACCAAACATCTTGGTTTCCCTGTGCATGAATCAAACTGCTGCTGAATTTCCAGGACGATTCACACTTTATAGATCTGTCTTATAGTTATGCTCAATGCAGTCGCAATCATATGTCATAAAAACCCTGCTCTTCACATCTCAAAAAGGAGCTTTTTGTCTAAACATGAAATGCAACTATTTTTTGAGTATGATTTGATTCAACCACCTTTTCTTTTCATGCCTTCACCCCATTGCTATGAAATCTCGACTGTTGAACTGCTGGCTCTGCCACTACGCTTTCGGCTTTGCCAAGTCGCGCGTGAAAACCACGGCCTTCCAGTGGCTCACGCGTTGTTCATGCCGCGCAGCCAAGGTGCAATTGGTCAAAATTAGACACCATGCAAAACAAATGTACTTTCAGCTGGCTAGTATATATATATATATGTTTATATATATATAAGATATATAAGTATGTATGTATGCATGCAATATAATGGAATGCAATGCAATGCAATGCAACGTAATGTAATGTATGTATCCTCATTTGTGGTAAAAGCTGCGTGTCCAAGGTTTGCCCAGGCTAGGGGAAGCAGCTTGCCCTCGACATCCAAGGCTTGTAGTTGCTAGAGTTGAAAGGGAGAAAATCGCTCGACAATTGCTGCCTGGCTGCGCTTTCAAAATTCCATCCAGAGTGCGTCTGTTCTGGATAGCGCGAAAAACCCGACTCGTCGTTCGTTGGCGCGCTGTTTACAGCGTGCGGAACAGAAAGTTTCAAGTGCAAATGGCTTGGAGAAACGACAGCAGTTGCGACAGTTGCGACCGTTTGCGTTGCTGAGTTCTTAAGTGTTTCTCCAAGCGCTAAAGCGGTTTGGAATTCTCCCAGGAGATGTTACATGACTCAAGGAAGACTCGGTTGGAAAATACATCTTTTCTAAAGCTGACTTTGGTGATTTGTTTCCCGATTTTCTCGGAATCCTGGGCAACATGGGCCGCCCTCGGGCACACATTGGAAAACTGAGGGCTTTTTCTAACGGAACTTGGGCCACCGAGATCTGATGACTCTGATGGCCTCTTCAGAAGTCCAGTTCAGCCTGCAGGTTGGATCACGGATGTGTCACCGGGGGTGTGTCTGTAGACCGGGGGTGTGTCTGTAGACCGTATGTATGTATGTATGTACGTATGTATACATATTGTATATACATATATATATATTATTTACACACCAATATTATACATATTTATTCTATTGTGACCCGGTTGTCCCATGGTTCTGAAGAACCTATGATTTCTGGGATGCACATCCAAGCACGGAAGCATCCCACGATGCTCAATGCAGCAGTCTAATGAACGGTGATTTCATCATCTAAGACACACCCAGATGATTGATAGGGGCCAATTGAACAGCAGTTTATCACAAAAAATTAGGGGTAACCCCCGAAATTCATAGGGTTCAGAAAAATCTGAACCAGAAATGAACACATGAAGACCACCTGGAATCAGCTTCCTACTGAGCCCCAAAATTGGATGGACTAATACGACAGGTTCAGTTCCAATTGTTGGGTTCCGCTTTGGTTTTCAGGAGGCTAGCTACATCCTCAATTTGTGAATTTTGAAACTTGGGGTCTGAAAATGGGGTGCAGCACACCCAAATGTTTGTTTGTTGATCATCAGTTTCCCTATGAACTAGTCATAACTTATAACTTGGAGGTATGCCCTTTTTCCAGACACCCAAATATCATATAGTTGCTTGAAAAGTTACTTGTATATTCCATTATAGCCCCATATCTCTGACCATTTTTCATATTTTTTTCAAGATCACCCATTTTCCCCCGCGTGAAACAAACCCTGAGAGCAGATCTGAGTTCACGACACAGCTTTCATCGCTACTCTCAATGGCATCGCTTCCCTCGCCAGGTATGCAGCGGATCTTCCAAAACACCACGGGAGAATAAGATGTAGAAATTAATATGGTATTAGTATTAATGATCTATAATTATGGATATATGCACATCATATGATGATCATTATAGTATGCATATTATATATATAGAGACATTAATATGCACATCATATGGCCTATGGCTCTAAAAAAATCCTATAGCCAAGGAAGCATATCCCCCCGGCTATTTTAGCGATCGTTCAAAGGGGTTGGGTGTCCACACCAGCTCAGAGGCAGTACTTTCAGTGGGCGAAGCCAAAACCTGCGGAAGGCTGGGAATGATGGTAGGTGGTTGAGTTATCCATGAAACTAAACATGGAACCCTAAACACGGGGCTGAAAAAATGTTCCCATGGCTGCAATTTCTGATTTCCATTGATTTCCATGGTTGTTAGGGATGCATTCAAGCAGGGCATTCAAGGAATTGGTTCAAGGTACGCAGAGTCTCGGAACAAAACTGTGACTCCCGTGAGATCAGGTTTAGGACCAAAGGGACAGAACCACTTCCAAAAAACAACAGATGGATCACTGGATCACTGTGTTCCCTCGTGATTTTTTCGGGATTCGATTGGGGTCTGAGCTGTGCGAAAAAAAGGCCAACCTCATCACTGTCTCCAAAGATCTCTGTGCCGCCAATGGCAGCAGAGAGGAGATTTCCTGAGTTTTTTGATGTGAAAATTTGAGGCTTTCCTAGGAATACCCCACTGAAACGTGGAGGTAACCAGAATCAAGAATTCGAGTGGAAAAAGATGTTCTTTTTCACAACAAGAATCCACCAACAGTTCACTAACAAGCAGATAGAATCAACAACAACAATCTGCCTTTCCATCCCTGAGTTGCCTTTCCATCGAACATCGATGGGACAATGGATATCATTGTTTTGCAATCCAAATTACAGGGATAAATCCTTGATTGTTGGGAATTTTCAATGATGGAACCATATAATTATCTCCAAATGAGTGTGGTAAAGCCAATAAAGAACCACACCGACCGGATTTTATTGTTTGCAGGTGTTGGCAGACCTCAAGAATATTGCTGGGTAAACAACCCACCATATTTTCGCAGATCTTTGGCTGTGTTTACTCCTAAAAGTCTAGGCTGCGGACGCACCCGCAGTGAGGCATGCTGCAACGCAGCAGGCTCCTAGGGGGAAAACTTGGAAACCATCCAATTTTAGTGGATGAAACCTCATGAACACTTGGAGAATAAACCTGTTGGAGTCAATCATTTTGAAACATCGTCAAACTGGCAAAACGCAAATGGCGGCTCCTGCTGTACTGCGAGAAGGACTAATTCGATGCAGTCTTTCAATGGGCTTGGTGCGAATTGCAAGGCCTTAGCAAATCACAACCGGTAGCCACAGCAAAGGGAGGATCGTCTGATCAGCTTGGATCATAGTTTTTTGTTCGAGGAACGGAGCCGCATTGCATCACCGCTGCCACTGTGATTGCCCATCCTTAGCCACTGGTATGGGCATTGGATACCTTCACAACGGTCACTTTTAATGCTCACAAGGGCTTACATGCTGACCAAAAACAAGGTCTTTACTAGCCAACTTGAAGCCGACATCCAGAAGTACTGCTTTCGAGCCAGAAATTGCTTTGATACTGTAGTAATACTGTAGAAAGACTGTAGCTAAATCTTGGAGTCTTGGCCAACCTTTCCGGACAGCCTCGACAGCCGTCACTTGCTCGGATTTTTCCGGCGACAAGTTTCCGTTGCATGTACTTGGCCTCGCGTGCTCTAGGGCCAGGCCTTAGAGGTCACGAAAAAAACTTGGTCCAAGTTGACACAGAAATCCATGACATATATGACACACACACAAATAAATCAATAAATTATATAACATATAAAAACAATACACAACAATTACACTAATTAACTAATGACCCTCACCAGTTCTGTTTTTTTTTTTTAATTTTGCATCGTTTTTGCTGAGTGCTGTGGCCATTCTGCATCACTGCCGCCAAAATTATGCCATCCTTAGCTGCGATCCAGTTTCCGCATCGCGTGAAATCAGAGATCTGCGAAGTGGCCACAACAAATTCCTGAACAAAATCAGTTAATAGTGGTTAATAGGCTTTAAACCAACAAGAATGATTGATGATTGATGATTGATGATTGATGATCCCAACATTTGGGTATAGAGATAAATCATGATGATAGAAGATGATGAAATCTGAAACGGTTCTCTGGATTTTTGTGGACTTGGGAAATGCCCTCTGGTGTCCGGACGTCCGATCTCAAGGTTCTGGAAGCCGATCCTCAGACATGATCCGAAATTTTAAATCTAATTTACAACAGCCTGGCTCAGATCAGGATTGACTCCCTTTGACTTCCAATCATCCCTCCTGATCTCCCACGAAATCTGGTCAGCTGGTTAAAACCCTGGCACCTTGGTCCAAGTATGCATCAGTTTTGATCCACCCCCAACATCCCCCAACTGGGTTTGTCTGAAAATAGGGTATATTCCCAATTATAGCCATTTAACAGGGATAATGATCATTAACCATTGGGTTTAGGGGTACACAACATTTTCAGACACACCCAACGATGTTTTTGAACCTCCGGAGATTTTCATGCTAAGGTGCGTAAGGCCAAGCCGTTTTGCTTGACTGCGGCTAAGACAACCTGAAGTCACACAGGGAACCTTTGGCTTCCCGCAACTCACTAAGCTGTAAGAAGCACCTGGCCCAATTCATTCGTAGCAAGGGCCCTCTATAAACCTTCACTTCCTTATATATATTCAACGTTAAGTTTGGGAGAAGCCAAGATAACGCCCCTTGTGTAGCTCTCATATTCAGCAGCCGATAACATGCTTACCATGTCTTTTCACAAAACGCCAAAGCTCCACGACGAAGGCCCATCCAGGAATAGACCACCATCCAGCGCATATTAAAAACCACCATCTTTTCTGTTGGTATCTCCATTCGTCCGGATCACTCATCATATCTTACCAACTTGAGTAACTTGATTTTGGCGAGGTGGCTCAAATTCACCCCCGGCATGGTTGGTTTAACTGGTCTAACCATGTCTAACCACTTATTATAAAGCTCCAACTTTGTTTCCGTGTTCAATCATGTTCAATCATGTTCAATCATGTTCAATTATGTTCAATCCTCTAATTCTTCCTAAAGAAACGGTTCAATATGGCTAAATATGGTTAAAGAAACGGTTAATGAATTGGTTAAATCCGCCAAGTTTGGCAATTTGTCATCTGGACATTCCCGCGCGGCAGAAACCACATCGCATGCATCGCCTCCACGTCTGCTTGCAAGACTGGAGAGGCATGCTGCAAGGCGAGCCTGGCGCAAAGTGGTGGGAAAATCCACATGAAGTGGTTGGGAACTCTTTTTTCCTTGAGTTCCTCCACGTAGTGTTTAATAATGTTCAATCTAGTTGTTTGTTTTTGTTGTTTTCTACTTATCTAATCTGATCTACTTCTTCTGCGTTCCCACTTTATGCGTTTCTGATTTTTGACACGTGATTGCAGATAAAAATGATGGAGTGCCGCTGAGCCAACATTGGGAGTCTGCTATCCAACGCAAACCAACAGTGAAATCGTTCGCTATTTTCAGGTGGACAACTTTCCCAAGTGATACAATTTATGGCAAGTTCTTTACGAAGTTCTTTATCTGGTTGGTGGTTTTAACCATCTTGAAAAATATGAGTTCGTCAATGGGTTCCGGATGACAACCCATATATGGAAAATAATCCAGCCATGTTCCATTCACCACCAACCAGATTAGTTATGATTATTAACCATCCATGATGTTAAATACCCAATAATCATCAATCATCAATCATTCTTGTTGGTTTAAAGCCTATTAACCACAATTAACTGATTGGTGATTGGCTGATTTAATAATTAATGAATGATTGGATAAAGCTGGTTAATAGGCCAATAATTGTGATAATTAATAGAATTTGATAATCATAATTAAACGGTAAATTATGTTCTCGCAACCATCTTCCTTCCAGCTGCCAGATAGAGACGTACCCTTGTTGTCGGACTGCTGCCAGCACCAGCTCTTTGTCATCCTGCCATCCCGGAGACCATCCCGGAGCCACAGTGACTTGGGATCCAGTGAAAAACGACTTGAAAAACGATGAAAGAACATGAAAGACCTAAAACTTCATGGATATATCAAGATATATCAAGTATATCAATATCTGAACCATATATATATATGAATAGTATGAATAATAGTATTACTTCCCCGCAATATCAGCTACCCTCCGAGCAACCTTGGAGTGTTGAAACCATCCATTGGGTTCCCTAAAAATGCTGCTTGGTGGCCGAAAACCTGCCAGAAAAGCGATGAGAATGTGTCAAAAGGCACACAACGACAATATGGTGAGTCAATAAATGCCACTAATGACAATATGATGAGTCTTTAAGACAAAATGCAAATATTATTTTTTTTTTAAAGAATCAAAACAACGAGTTGTCAGAAATCCACTCAACATATCTTCATATTCCTTCCTTGAATGCAGGAACTTGCTGCAGAGCTTGTCCATTATTTTGCAGCGCGACCTGGCATGGCTGGTCTGTGAAAACACAACGGTGACTTGGGAACCAAAGGATTCCCTGGAGATAGCTTCACCAAACGTGGGGTATCCAACACAAGGCTTTCGACAGTCCGCGTTCTCGGAAACACAACCAGTGACATCACCACCCGCAGATTGTGCAGAACAACGGCTGTCAATGAAACCTATTCCAGACAAGAATGTGGTTCTTTGTTGATAAGCTGTTAAACACTGAACAACTTGTAGTTGTATATGTTTTGTTTATTGATTATTTCACCAAGAGCAAACTAGAAATACATACACGGTCCAAACCCACTGAGTTCACTGCTAACACACCGCTGCGTGAAGACCTTGGTGGCACCGCCGTGACTTGGCTCAAAACTCTATGACCTGTGGTATCTGCTGATGAATTGTTGTACATTGTTGATGCACCTACCTCCGTGAAGACACTTTGTGTAGTTCACATGCCATGGATATTTTTGATATTGAGGAAGAGATCCCGCCTGGAAGAACATTTGCATCCCCATCATTTGAGCATCTCAGTTTTAAACTCCACCTGATCTGTGGCTTGTATCTTGATATATCTTGATGTATCTCTTGGTTCAGCTCCCTGTAACGACCACCTCCCTGCAGCTTGAAGGCTCGTCTGATACCATGCCTGGCATCATGTCGAGGAGTCCAACTCTGGCGTATTGGTCTAATGGGACGTCAAGTTATGGCAGTTATGGTCATGATATATATATATATCAGTATCATCAGTATCATGGCAGTTATGGCAGTTATGATAATTACTGATTATATGATACTGATATATATCATGATATCATGGCAGTTATCAGTATCATGATATATATATCAGTATCATCAAAATATCATGATAATTACTGATGATATTTTGATGATACTTTTAAGCCCCTTTCAGACCATTCCATCCATTCCATCCATCCCAGTGGATCCCATCCGATGATTTTCTGTGCCTCTGGGGCTCTTCATCTCAGCACTCACCTGCGTTTTTCAAACCACACTTGAAGATCAATGGGATGAAGAAATGGGAAGAATGGAACAATATCAACGGATATCATATGCTATTTTCTGTTTTTTCTAATTATACATAAGTTTGTATAATTAGTATAAGGATCTAAACATGTTTTTATCACTGCTGGATATCTGTGTTCTCCACAGTCGAAACAAAATGCCTCGTGCATGCCGTCGGCCTCGGTGAGGACATTGCGGAAGAGATTTCGTCCGAATGAAATGGTTGAAACATTCAACCCACAATGCGTTTAAAAGGTCCACAAATGGTAATGTGTATAGAATATGGTGTTTAATACATGGTAATATGTAATGTACAAATGAAATGGTGTTTAAGGCAATATGTATGGAATATGTAACTCTAGAATATGTATAGCAAACCCTTACAACTGGTGGCATGAGTCCTGCAAACAAATCCTTCAACAGCACTAAGCTGAGCATCCGTGCATGCTGGGAGTACATAAGACCTTGGTGTATACACAAAACATCATCCGAATTGTGTATGGGTTGTACGGCCTGTGGCTATGTGTGTGAACTTTGTGTGCGAACTTTTCCAGCATTGCAATCTGTGCTTTTCCCCTCAACCTATGTACAAACTGACCAGCATGCGGATCTTTGGGATTGCCTACATTGATCTTTATGATTTTTGAATAGGAGTACAGTATGATTCATTGGAGACTGATCGACATTCATGATTCAGTGTCTCAAATAGGTTTGTTTGTTGACAGGATCCCCAAAAAAAACTCAGATGGTTCCGCATCACCCGATTTTTGATAGCCATTCAGCCAGTGATAGCCAGTGATAGCCATGAAATGGGACATCCCCCATTCTGACCCAACGTTCAGCAAACCATTTTTTCCATCCCAGTCTGACATGTGCCCGCTTTCGGGCCAGTCTGGCGTCTGCCCCAGTGGGATTTTTTGGACCAACAGAACTTGCCAGTGGCTGTGGCCTCAAAAATAGGGTACCAATGGATGGAGCCACAACAAAATGGGTGAGGTTTCTCATTTTGCCATTAAACTGTCATTAACTGTCATTAAACTCACGAAACCTTCCATTTGTGAGCCATTCCCAGTAGGACCAAAAACTCCAATGTTCCAGACGCACAACGCCATGACTTTATGGTGCCCTTCACTCCAAAACAAACACAAAATAAGATGAATTGCAAACAATTTCTTCGCTAGATTCCGGGTTGAAAACATGCTGTTGTGATTCTTGGAAAGAAATGAACACGTCAAAATTGTCCAAACTGCTGATATGAAGGTTTCACCGATTTACACAGTGCTTTCCGACACTTCATCCCACATGACAATTCAATAACTGACGTGGAACGACTCCTGGAAGGCACCAGACCTGATTTGTGACGTCAGACGTCGCGCAAGCCACGGTGCAATCTACGCCCGTCACATGAAATCTTGCCAGCTGTGAGGTTTGGCCACCTCCGCGCATTACAAAAAAATCAGCATGGAAGAAACCAAAAGAAACCAAAAGAAACCAGTTTCACTGGATTGGTTAAGGGAAAATTTACAGGAAACCATGGTTTTTACCATCAAATATAGGGTTTTCCTGTGAATTTTCCCATCATCCAATTCTATGACAGTTGCATCTTCACAGTGAAGTTATGAAGAAGGTCATTTTCCACTACAAATGTGGCATTTCCTGAAGAAAAACCCATCAAAGATTAGGAACCAATCTGCGGCCGCCTTCTGCCGAGGACCCCAACATGGCCTGGCAGGTTGTGCTGAAGATATCTCCGATTCCGAACATGGGGAAACTGGACATGGACAACTCATTCTGTGGGATGAAGACCCAATTTTTGTGACCCAATTTTTATGATTAAAGCACATCAATTTTCCGAAAATCCACTCTTGTGGCGAAAATCCAACGGTACATCCGCATATTTTTGGCTGACAAACTTCCATCGCCAAATCCATAGGTTGAATCATTCTAAATCCCATGTTTCATCCAATCTGGGTAAATGAAATCATATTTCACTCACCTGAATTATATACGGCCATAAAAGGGGATGATTTCCCTATACATTCACTATGATTAGCCTCTGGTTATTTAACATAGCCATGGCATAGACGGCCCATAGAAATAGATGGTTTACCACACCTCCACAGCGCAGCCCAGGGATCCATGGATGCCATGGTGGCGCCCGTGGCGGGAGCAGGAGCGGCCTGCGATAGGTGTGGCTCCAGGTACCGATTTTTGGCGATTTTGCCAACCAAAAGAAATGGGTGGTTTAATGGAATTGCACACGTGCATATCTATCTATTTATCTAATCTAATCCAATCTAGTCTAGTCTAATCTAATCTATCTAATCTAATCTATCTAATCTAATCTATCTAATCTAATCTATCTATCTATCTATCTAGCTATCTAGCTATCTAGCTATCTAGCTATCTAGCTATCTAGCTATCTAGCTATCTATCAATCTATCAATCAATCAATCAATCTATCTAGCTATCTATCTATCTGTCTATCTCTCTATCTACCTATCTATCTATCTATCTATCTAATTATCTAATCTATCTATCGATCTTTCCGTCCATCCATCCATCCATCTATCGATATACACATGATATGACATGAAATGATATCATACGTATATGTACTACTATAAAAATTGGAATGTAGCAATGAGAAAGGTAGGGTGTAACCATGAAACATTTGCATCTAACCAACTGTTTGTGTATAGGGGCGGTTTGTAGGAAATCTAGAGGAAGCCATGGTGCAGGGGCATTGATCCATGCCCTGTTTGAAAACATTTAATCCTTGGATTAAAAAAGTGGAGTCATTTACCAACCCCCTGTGGCAGTTTTGCTCAATGTTGCGATGTTGCTTCACATTTTGGCACCCTAGATCTCAAGATTAGAGATGTATTGTCTGGTAATCAAACATAGCAATGGACACATCTTCCAATTTTTCCGATGATTTTCACATTCAGTCCTCCATTTAGTTCGGGGATTTCCCTATGGCCCATGTCTGACGCCGTTGTTGACGGCGGCACCTGAGCTGCTCCATCGCAGCACATCTTGTTGATGTTGGCCATTGCCTGGATGAGGCGATTGAACAATATGAAGCATGCTAAATGGACAGTAATAATAGTAACAATAACAATAATAACATCGCAATAATATCGCAATAGCACAATAATAATGATAATAATAATAAAAAACATAATAACAATAATAATGAATGCAACAATAACACTAATAATAACGATAATAATAACGATAATACTAACGATGATAATAACAATGATTCCAGTAACAAAAAATATAACAACAATATAGTATACACAATAACTATAAACAGATAACACATGGATAACAATAATAACTAAATGGATAATGTTCATCTCCCAGTTGCGCAATGGAATGCACAGCCAGTTGGATGTCCGGTAGCAACTGGTCTCCCAATTGGGATTTGATCATGTTCCTTGAAATCCTCCAAAGGATATGGGCTTCAATAATCATATGGCCATCTACTCAATGATCATCAATTATATCATGAATGGCTGATGAATGGGAACCAAAACACTGAAAATCATCAAAGATCTCAGATCATATGGCCACTCTAAAGACACCACCATGCCTCGGGTTCCGGAACAGCTGCTTTACCTGTGGCCACGTTCACCTTAGGAAGGTGATATTGACTTGGAAACTGGGAAGGCGTGCAGTGGGGATGAACGTCATTTTAGTAAATATCTGCCAAAGATATGGTAAGGGCCTAAATTTCATTTGTCAATTATTCTTCTTTGGCTTTCACCTTCTATAGTTTTTTTGAGGGTAGCATTAGACAATAGACAATAAACACAATGGAGGGCACATATTTTGATATAGATCACACATGCATATAATGCATATATATATATACGGTATTGTATTATATGTTATCAAAATGGGTTAAAAATAATTGGATTAGATAATATGGGGTTGCATACAACTGTCTCATGGCTCAGAGAGGTATCCTCACTCTAACCTGGTGATTTTCCAAGCAGAAAGGCTGGATTCCCAAGGGGTATACCCGTCAAGAATGGTCTTGCAACTCTTTCGCTTGAATCCATTCCTTTTGTGGATTCTCAACCTTTTTTTTTTGCTGGTCAATTGCTCCATGTTTGTTAGGCAATCCGGAAATCCCTATTTGGCCGCTCTGCATCTCAAGATGGGTCACTAAACCAGTCAGACTTTTCACCACCAACTACATGGCATCATTGGGCATTTGAAGGCTTCCCCAATTTCGGGCTACCAAAGTATCCAAGTCATTAGACTCATTAGACCAAAATTTTGGCATTGAAGTTCATGGTTTTTGGGACCATTTTAAGAAACCATTTTTTCATCTGAGCATTGAGCATCCCAGCTGTGTTGTGCAAGCGTACCAGCCATCTCTCCAAATCATCTCGACTGGAGAGGTATGGGGTGGGCCTTGCGGCGAAAAAGCGAAATTCACTAAAATGGATAAAACCTTAAATAATAATGGTGATATGTCCAGCAGATTATGGGGGATGTGATACACACACACATATATTTGTACACATAACCCATATAGTCGACAATATAATAATCGTGATATTTTAATATATTTTATAGATCCATTTGTAAACTGAGGCACGGATCTGCGTGCAAGTGATGACGCAAGTTCTCACCGCAGCTGTTGCCTTAGCTCTGGGAACCGCTGAATCCAAGGTTGTGGCGCATCTGCAACTTTCTAGGCGACTTGATTCCTTTTCGGACGTGATCTACCACGGAAATGAAGAAATCACCAAAATCCTGACCTGAAAAAACCGAAGATCCATCGAGGGGACATCCCCGCTGTAACAACGATCCCACTTTCACTATGCCAGAGACGGCCAAGAGGCATGGCAAAACATTGGGCAAAGAGTCCATCATGTCCTGCCATCAGCGGATTCGACCGCAAGAAAAAAAAAACCGTGGGTGTTTGTCGTTGTCGTGCGCTACGATATTTTTTTTTGGGCCACAAAATCATGCCAATCTACATAGCTGGGCCCTAACATTAGCCATCGGCATGTCCCAAAATACCCGGAGCGTGAACTAGTTGTTGCTCAAATCCGAATCTAAATGGCAACAGTAACATCCGCCATCTTGAGATAAAACCATCCTATATGATATATATATATATATATATTTACATGCATATTAGATAATCATTCCAGTCTGAAAATGGGCCAAAATGGGGTATGAAAACATGTGAATTAACCGATGGATCTAGAGGTCCCCCACGTTCAGACACCATACCTCCATGGCTAGTTCGGGGGATTTTCCACGTTTGATGACATCGAAAGGTATATCCCAGTCATTACTGTAAAAATTATCCCAATCATATTTTACCTTAATCACCATTAATCGCCTTTCATCAACATTAATCACCACTAGTCGCCAGTTTCGGAAAAACGCCATCGCTGTCCTGAAAGCTGCGCTGCTGATCCGGTGGCAACGTTTGGGGCATGTTGTGCACCATGCAATGCCTTGGCTGAAGGAAATTTCCAATGCTTCAACCGTCTAAAACCAACGGGTCATATCGTGTGTGATGTCCACAATGGAAATTCGGGAACAACACATATGGGGATATTCACAATCACAAGTTGTTTTTTTTCAGCTGCAAAACACAAGGTTTTTCCATCAACCGACACGTGAAATCACCAGTTTCTGGATGATTTTGCCGTGGTCGACTAGAGCGTCCCCCCAAAAAAGGAATCCAACTTCAGGACACCCCTGAGGCACGCGTACTCAAACAGACACAGCAACCATTGAAACTTTTTTGCCGTAAATGAATGACACAGATATATATATATATGTATATATATATATACATACACCTACACACTATAATATATATATATATATTATCATATTATATGACATTCCATTACATTACATTATATTACATTATATTATATTATATTACATTATATTATCTTATATTATATTACATTACATTATATTATATTATATAACTCCATCTATCTCACTGACATGATCCTGATGGGAACATCTTTTCCAAGACACAAACTTTTCCACATCGCAGGTCCCCACGCAGATGGCGCCTCAGATCTGTGTTCTGGTCACAGGCGGTATCTCTGACAAACTCACCATGTTGTGGAGAACTGGCGATATTTGTCTTTGTTGGAAAAAAATAGGGGAGACCTACACATCCAGTAGGTCTTCTTTACCGTTTTTTGCTGTTAACACGGCCATTAGGAAAATACGGCTGTGATTTTTTGAAACACAATATGAGTGTCCAGCAGTTTCAATCATTAAAAAAATTGGGAAAACAGGTCCAGTTGGCTTCACAGAAAGCAGTTGTAAAGGCCCTTCCAAGGTATTCCTGGCCAACATTTGCTGCACAAAATGGCCCTTCTGACAGATCTCACATCGGGCTGACCGACGCCCTTACAACTACCAGCTGCCATGCCGGTGTCCAGGTTGGGTACCTCGCCGAAACCAGGGATCCCCATGAAACTTCCAGGTGCTTCATGAGCAAAGTCATCGATTTCCATCCCTTTGAGAGATCTATGCACATGTATATACATTTTTCCACATTCTTGAACATCCAATTTGAATATGTATATATATATATATGCACATATACACTTGTTAAACAATACACATACGTATATGTATATATATAATTATATAGACATATGACATATGTATAGACATATGTAGAATATACAATAATATACATTAACATGCATGTAGATATCACGATCAAATTTCTTCAAAGCCATCAACTGAATCAGCAGCGACCGCCTGATGTACTGCTGCCAGTTTCGCGGCTAAGGAGCTGTCCATCCCACGGCCCAACTGAGCAGCTGTGGACAAAAACCATGTTGGTTAATGATGAAAAAGGGTAATAGCTAAGCATGACATATGGGGTGATTTATGATATGTATGGCGATATTTTTCAGCATGAAGTGATATTAAACCATGATAGAGTGATTTTAAGCAGATAATTATTGATAAATCATGTTTTGGTTAATGAGTAGTTATGGGGGTTGGTTAGCCAACATGTTGGGATTAGCTAGTGGTCCATGTAAAAGGTGAAGCGACTGGCAGATTGGAACATTGATGGTAAATATCTGGGACTCTTACCAGAGGAGATAATCCTCATCAAACCAATGAGCATAACACTATAATCCTAGATATTAAAAGTCACCAACCATCATTACTACTTGGGGGTGCAGTTACAGATATAAGTGGATATATAACCACAGTTCAAGGTTCTAACCCATCTATAGACGGGATAAGCCACGAAAAAAGGAGACGACTTGGATCACCAGGCACCGCCAGGGTCACCAGTTACGAGGACCGTGGAACCCGTGGAACCCGTGGAACTCGTGGGATGATCCGACAAGATCCGCACCGCAGACGTTGCCACGCTCATCTTCGAGTGCATCAGCTGGCCTACAGAGACCACAGCTATGACACCATGATACCATCTGAACGGGGGGTTTGGGGTTTGTCATGGTCCATACACCAGATACATCCCCAAAGTTGCAAATTGTCGTGGTAAACGACGATGCCATACGATGCCTATGTTGCTCTGGTCACACCTTTCCCTCAAAACCTCCAGCTGCACCTGCCGTTGGCAAATGCGAAAGCCAATTCACAGCATCGTGGCCCAGGGCCACCCTGGCGCAGCACGGGTGACGGGTGACACATCGACGAAAGATCCACTGAGCCCTGCACAAGTCCAGCACCATGGTGAGCGGTACCGGAAAGCGCCGGAAGCGTTTTCAGTATCCAACGAAGTTATTTAAATGTCATCAATTAACCATGAATTGACCATCATCTAGGGAGTCTATCACAATTTCGTTGGCTAGACCACGTCATTTTCTTGGAAGATGATATTTGGAAGAGATGCTTGACCATTTTCACAAGGTCTCAAGGGGACGTGGGCAACAAGACACGTGGTCGAAGTGAGAGCCTTTGCTTTCATTGCCATCTCATGTGACACCCGTTCTTGGGCTGTCTTGATCCACAGCTGCATCAAGGCTTCCATTCATGGACATTCAGGGCCCGAAATGACATCCATCAAAGCAGACTTGTATGGCTCAGTACCAATGGATTTCCTGATGGCGATCCATTCATCCACTGTTTAGTATTAAGTAGAGTGCCATTGGGTTTCGGTTCGAATTTATTGCTAATGAAGCAACAGCACTTCCGACAGATGTCCATTCTGAGGCCTGCACCTGTTAAAATAATGATAGTCGTGGAGTCAGAAAAACACAAATTGAACAGCTGCCTGGTGGCTCTTGGTGGCTCTTGGTGGCTCTTGGTGGCTCTTGGTGGCTCTTGGCTACTTTGCGGACAATCTGTGTTTTCTTTTTGGAAGTATTGCTGTGCTTTGGTATTCTTCCCATGCTGGTTCCAATCAAATGCCTGGCTTCATCAGTTTGAATAACTTGGACAAGCAACTACTGGATTCCTGAATCATTTTGTTTGGATGATTTTTTTTGGCCATAGAAATCGCCGTCTTCTTCTTTTTTTGGGTCGGCAACCAGCCGAATTCTGTGGCTGGCATGGAGGACTCCTGAACTGAGCCGAAACATGGCGAGAACGCACTGCACTGCCCCCAGGGCTGGGATGGTGCATCACAACAAAACCGATGGTTTATACTGGAACAATCTGGAACACAATTTCCTATCCTTTCTGGGGATTGCCAACAGCATGCGCTTGCAAGTCCGCGGGCCAATTGGAATGATGACCCATGATTCACGCTGACATCTTTTCGCTACATCTTCTCAGTTCCGGTAGAGGTGCACCGTTTTGATGCAAGAGTCATCCTCATCTTGAGAGTCGCCTTGGTGGCAGTTCAGGACAGATCAGAGGAAATGTTGGAACCAAACATATGCATGGATCTTGAAGCAACTGTTCTCATGTTTTTTCTTTGGGCTATTAGAATACTTACTCAGCAACTTCTTGCAGCAATATCACTTAGTTGCAAACCCATTCCTCAGTGGAACTTGGGATTTCGGACCTTCCTTTCGTTCGATTCGCTTCTTGCGTTCTTGTGTCAGCCTCTATCAGAACCAAACGTTGAACCATGCCAGCTGCTATGATCGGATATCCGCTGATCAACATCTATCACCAACATTTAGGGTACTCAAAAATGTTTAAAAACAAATCAGGTTATATATGTATATATATGTATATATATGTATATATATATAAATCCATAACTAATTACATCAATCAATCAATAAACCACCAACAAATAATAAAGTTTAGCCAAGTAGAAACATAACTGAATAAATATGGACACACACATATATATATGTATGACATATCATATCCGCCCCGCATATGTACGCGGGTGGAGCGGTGACCAGTGCCACGCCTGGCATGGACAGTTCAGTTTTAAGGGACACTGTTTGGATCATCCAATACCTTTGCCAATCTTAGAGCTGCAAGAAAACATCAACTTAGTACATGTTGATATGTTGGTTCAATGTCCATACAGCAGATTGGTTAGTACTAACAGTACTAACGTAGCCATCTGGTAATTTCTCACGTGGGCTGGAAAATCACCCATTAATTCGCATTCTTTTTCCCAGCTATACCAACGGGATTCCAAGCTTGCCATGTTTGATTACCAGAGGCTAAATATCCCAAGAAATCCCATCAAAATTTCATGGGATTATGTTCTCTCAAAAATTCATCCCATGAAAATGAATCCCATTCATATGTCATATGCCCATGAAAATGAATCCCATTGTTACCCTCTGGTAAACTAACATAGCTATGGAAAATCACAATTTTTAATGGGAAAATCCACTATTTCTATGGTCATTTTCAATAGCTATTTTGACATAACCAGAGGGTATCCCCATTTTTCACCATCTCAAAGCCTCCATTTTGGCATCAAACCGGCCATGATCGGGGCCGCTGGAGCCGAAAATGTCTCCTAAGGGTCATCAATGGGTGAATTTTTGGGTCCCCTTGGGGGAGAATATATGGGTCCCATGGGTTGACCCATAATGGGATTTTGTTTATGGGACAAACTCATGTATGATACTGTATTTAATATTGGTTCCAATTGATATATATCTGGGTATAATATGGGTATATTAATGGGACCAATGATAGTAGTATAATGGGCACATTGATATGCCAATTTCCTTACTTTTCAGCCATTTCCATGTGATGAAACATGTTAGCAATGGGAAAAGAAGATGGTAGAACATCGGGAGATCACCTTCCATATCCAGTCTTGTGGTTGCCAGTATTGCTCCGTGTCCCTGGTTTTCACATCCCAAACATGAGCGGAATACAGTACCTTGGCGTGTTTCAAGTCCAGGTGAACGTATCACCTTGTGCGCTTGAAAAAACTACAGTAACATTTTGACGGGATGCAGAATGGCTTTTAATTCTAAAGTGAACCCCTTCCCAAGTATTGGTGCTGCATATTTCCAGCTTGTATTTAGGTTCAATCATGCTAATAGATTTGCGTTTGACCACTACCATGACAACCACAATGGATGATGCGATTCACTGTTTTCATTTGCATGTATGTATGTATATATATATATGTATATATATATATATATGTATATACATATTTAATATCCCAGTGGACCGTTTTTTTAATTTAGACACCATGGTTTAACGATGAAACAACTGCAGGAAAACCATGGGAACCCCGATCACCTCGCTTGCCACACAGGCCAAACTGCAGGCCTTGGATCGTAGATGCTGGTGGTGAAACATGGCAAACGTGGCCATTTGTACCGTATACAATGAGAGTGTTTCATTTTTGGATAATCATGCAAAACTGGCAGTATCTTATTTTATTCTTAGATTGCAAGTCAACCATCCATTTTTTGGATATTCATTTGTGTTTGGTATCAAACCATCCACTGCCGTGAAACAGTTTGAGAAAATTTGAAACATACCCATTTTGAATTTTGTGACAGATAAAACTGCTCGGTCAACACAGAAGATCTGGCTGGTTTCTTCCATTCGGCGATGATGGATTTGCCACCAGTGCTGCGCTTGGGCCACACTGACATCGGTCACATGAGGAGTGCCAAAAAGAACCTCCAAGGAACATAACAAAAATTATTTGGAGACGGCTTCCTGATGTTCCTTACACTTTCCCTCCATCATTTTTGAAGGGGATGTCCAAGGCCATCACACTGCAACCACTGCTGTAGCACCTGAGGCTGGAAATTCTCACAGTAATGCGGCGCGGTGAACTCGAAATTACGCTATCCAATGTTTTGAACGTTATTGACATCGCTAAATGGTATGATTAGGTAATTAAATATGATTAATCATAGATTTACCACATTAAATCTGCAGGAGAATGGAACTAAGTGGCACACTACTCAGCGGGCGAACTTGCCTCGGCCATGCCGGACAGTTGTGGCGCCTGTACCACATGTGCCCGTTCCGGTACGCCTGCCATGGCAGAGGTACCGGAACGGACGCATGTGGTACAGGTGCTACCACTATATGGCATAGCCGGGCGAGAAGACCTGCACACCAGCCGGGCGAACCACGGAAAGCAATCAAATATTATTAAACACACACGCATATAATATGTATGTATATATATACATACACACATTATATACATAATATACATGCATACATGCATGCATACATACATGCATGCATGCATGCATGCCTTACATTACATTACGTTACGTTACGTTACATTACATTACGTTATGTTACGTTACGTTACGTTACATACTTCAATCACTATAATCTTAATCAATATGGGGCTTAAGCACTCTTAATGATACATATCCCACTAATCCCATTTATCACCATTGTTTTGGACCTTCCTAGCACCAAAATCCCTCAGCTCAGGACCGAAACCTTTGCCGGCGATCTGCAGCAGCTCCACCATGGCGTCCACACAGGGCGTCCCTGGTCTCCTGGGCATCCAGCTCCATCTGGCATAGTGGAATACTGATGGAATAGTAATAATTGGTATTACAACTAGTATATTATTAATGGGATATTCCACTGTTCCAGTAATTACTATTGCTATTCTATCAATATATTCGAGTCGAAGGAAGTTTAGAAGTCAAACTTCCGACAATATGGACAGATGAAAAGCAGAGATGGGAAGAGTCAGAGAAGAGAAGAGAAGAAGAAGATCAAAAAAGAGAAAGTCTCAGAAGAAAGAAGATCCAGGTGCGCGAAAAGGTAGGAAAGTGGCGAAACACGGTATTTTTCCAAGTGGCTCCGGAGGCTCCGGAGGGTCGAAAAGTAGGCTCGCTAAAGCGGCGGGTGCGGAGCCAGCTGGCCAGATGAGAGATGAAAAATTGCACCCTGTGGTGGCGCGAAGCACATTTCTAAGTCAAAATGTACAAAAGCCAACGTCGGACCACTTTTGGCAGTTGCGATGTGGAAAAAGTGCATGCCGTTGTGGCGCGAAGCACATTTCGAAGTCAAAATGTACAAAACACACCATTCTCGGACCACTTTTGGAAGTTGAGACGATGAAAAAGTGCACGCCGTTGTGGCGCGAAGCACATTTCTAAGTCAAAATGTACAAAAGCCAACGTCGGACCACTTTTGGCAGTTGCGATGTGGAAAAAGTGCATGCCGTTGTGGCGCGAAGCACATTTCGAAGTCAAAATGTACAAAAGCCAACGTCGGACCACTTTTGGCAGTTGAGATGATGAAAAAGTGCACGCCGTTGTTGCGCGAAGCACATTTCCAAGTCAAAATGTACAAAACACACCAGGTTTGGACCACTGTTGGAAGTTGAGATGATGAAACAGTGCACGGCGTTGTGGCGCGAAGCACATTTCCAAGTCAAAATGCGCAAAGAATACCATGTCCGGAGCACTTTTGGAAGTTGTGATGTCGAAAAAGTGCACACCGTTGTGGTGTGAAGCACATTTCCAAGTCAAAATGTACAAGACACCACATGTTCGCACCGCTTTTGGACGTTCAGATGTCAAAAAAGTGCACGCTGTTGTGGCGCGAAGCACATTTCCAAGTCAACATATTAAAAGCACCACATGTTCGGACCACTTTCGGGCGTTCAGATGTCGTTTTGCGTGGCAGGCGCAAGGGATTGTGCACCTTGTAAAAAGTGAGCAAAACGTGACAATTTTGTAGCAATTTCAACTGCAACCACCACTACACTCCACTACACTCCACTACACTACACTACAACTACAACTACACTACATAACACTACACTACACTACACCACACCACACTAACTACAACTACAGCTACAACTACAGCTACAACTACACTGCTTTACACCACACTACACTACACAACCCTACATTACATTACACTACACTCATTACGCCACTACAAATGCAACGGCAAGTACGCTACACTAATTACACTACACCACAACTACAACTCCACTACACTACAACTACAACTGCAGCTGCACTACACTACACTACATCCAACAGTTGTGGGTGAGGTGACCGACCAGGTGACCACTGCAACCATTGCAACCACTCCAAACAACACAACTCCAACCACGTTTTGGTGCATCAGTGGATTCGCTCTGCCATCCGGGATTCACAACAACCAACCTCTCCTATAGGTTTCCTATTTTTGAAACTTCCGCCACCGCCTTGTGCGGTACTACTGGTAATGGAATATTAGTGGAATAATAATGAATATATTGATAGTAATAGTTGGTATGATATTCCTGCCAATAGTGGAATACTAGTGGAGTAGTAATATAATACCAGCTATAATAGTGGAATAGGAATAGGGAATATTAGTGGAATAATGTGGGTAAAACAATGCCATAAACCATCCATGACTGGGAATGGTTTATATATACCACCTATAAAAATGGGTTTTGACTGGGTGATGGTGAACATGAAATTGATTTAGCCATATTAGTCGGATATTATGATCATAAATCTAGATTTTCTATTTCACTATTAGATAGTGAAGTTTTTTGTATAACTATTAGATACTTATTAGATTTATAGCTAACTATCAGGTAATTATTTTAACATTTGCACTTTGGCACTGTGGTAATATCCTGGATATAGGTACTTCCCACATTGAAAATGGGACCCGGGGATCTGCTGAAAAAAATCCCAGGGTCCAATTACCGTCATTTCCTATGGGAATTTTTAGAAATCTGTTTCACCTGTGAGACTTATAACATATTTGTTTATAGCATATCAACTAACAGTATAGACTAGCAACATGAACTTAATGAACACAATTCCGTCTGTCACTGGAAAATCAAAATCGCGATATTCCACTTGCACACGAAAAACCAGGGGGGACTTAGTCACTACCGGTCAGTATGGATCAGGTCAAGAAGTGGCCATTTTTTCCATCAGCTTCTCCAGAGTGGATCAACTTCCCATTGTTGCTGGTTATGTTGGTGAAACCATGTTAAACCAGCATTTTCAAGGCTTTTTTCAACCGTAAAAACCCACCACCCCGTTTTTTTGGGGGTGAAATCGCCATGAAGTGCTGGCGTTTGGTGGTCCTTCATGGTGGTGAGCCCAAAGATGAGCACTTTCGCCTGAAGCCGGCAATGGAAGGTCACCTGCAGAGAAGAAAACAATGGGGCTATGTCATTGTGATGATATACTTCTCTATCATTCTCTATCTACATTTATAGAGATGATATATAAAACATAACATATAGATGATATAGATGCTATGATGCAAGGATACCATGTATCCCTCTCTATGTTATATATTTTATTATATGTATCCTACATGTAAAAACAAGCCTAATCTTATGTAAGAATGATTGGTATACCTTGATACACCTGGTAGGCATGAGATATAGTGACATGTACTATCCATTGAATGATCCTACGTATACGTGTCGCTTTACCATGCTTTACCAGCTACTGCTTGGCAATGTGGGACGTGATGGGGACGGCCATCCATCTGGGGATAATACACCCGATTTTGCGCCATGGGGCTTCCATTGGTTAGGGATCTGCCAGTGAAACTGCCATAAGGAATGAGTCATCACCACTGTTCAGCTAGGCAAAATCTCAAAATCTCAGTACGTCCGTGTAGTCATTCCAACCATTTCACCTTGGTAGACCGACGTGTTTCGCAGAAGTTCATCCTCAGCGATTGTCCCAGTTGGTTAGCATCCATCATGATCCATCATGATCCATCATGATCCATCATGATCCATCATGAATCATCATGAATCCTCAAAAACTAGTTGTAAACCACCATGATCATCATTTTAATCATGAATTTTGCCAACTGGTTGAAATCATCATGGGATTTCAATCCAAATCTTGAGATTCTACGAATTCTACGGTTGAACTCCCATTTTCCGCGCAGGCCAGGTTGGGATGGTGCTTGGCTCGATCAAGGCGCGGAGCCACTTTGGACCTGATCTTCGACCGGTGGTACCGGGTATCCTCTGGGAATAGAAAAAAAATGGTGATCTTTCAGATTTCAGCACTATAAATGCCGGTTTCATGGTGATTTCCCTGGGAAACTAACAGTGACTGCTATTGAGCATGGCAATAGAAATGGTTGAACAATTGCTAAAATGGTGACTTTCCATAGCAAACTCTTAGTTTAGCAAAGGGTACCCTTCGGCGCTGGAAAATTCACCATGTTCCATGAGTTTCCAGAAAACACCTCCATTTTCGATGGGAGTTTTCCATGGCCATGTTTAACGGATGCATTTTGAAACCATCTTAGGAAAATGACAGCACATTTTCGGAAAATTCTGGCGCGAGAAGAATATCCAGAACAAGACGGGTATGACACAGAATATGTGGCATATTCTTGTATTGCCCATTGGACCATTGGATGCCCCGGCTCTCTGGTGCAGCAAGAAGTTCAGGCTCCGAGGCTAACTTCGCTGTAGTCCTGGCCGGATCGGATGCGATCTGATGTAAAGTTTGGCATTGCCATGAAAGTTGCATTTCTGGATCAACCAAGACAGTCAGACATATATTCAGAAACTGTCCAAGAGTGAAAACTTTGGGGGTTGAAAAAACTTTCCGGACTCCCCAAACTGTCCACGCCTACAGCCATCGTGTAACACTTCTCCCACTTGACAAACGTGTGGCGGTAGCAAAGCGCTCGAGTCCCTCAGGGAGGTGAAGGACAAGGACTAAAGACAAAACCATGAGGGTTTTCGCGCCATCAAAATGGATTCATCCCATCAAAACCAAGGAAAACCCCAGGAAAACCCCAGGAAAACCCCAAGGATCCCCCAGCACCGGAGGACTTTTCCGCTCCAAGGAGCCAATCGGAGAACGTCTTCCAGCTCAGATCGGATCCGGATCCCACCAGCTCCTACGAAATCATGGAAATCATCCCATTGCAGATGGGATCATCGGATCATCCATGCGCGCATCCCATTGTGGGGATCAAAAACATCTCCAATTTTTAATGGCAAACAGATGTCCAATTTTTATGGGGAGAATTCATGGTATATTCATGGTATATCCCCAATTCCGGTGATTTTCCCGGCCATGCCTCAACCAGCTCGGATTTCTGAGCGGTGATTGACTGCACCACTACCTGACAGGGGTGAAAAACCATGGGAAACTCAGGGATTTGGCAGGGATTTGGATGGTCAAATCATGTAATATGTAGAAAACCATGGGTTTCTGGATGCTTCGGGTGAATTATTCATTTGAATCAATCCTGAAAGGATCTAAAAATATCCTTTGATATCGATAGTAACTGAACTTCATGATGTTTCCACGCGGAGTTCGGATGGGTATGGGTCAGAACTTTGTTTAGCAGCCCGAAAGACCACAGATCATCCCATTTTGTTTCATACAATTTTGTGACCCACAACTATCAATCTTTGAAGGCAACAACACAAGACCATTGGCATGAATTGGCATGTGTTTCTGGGTCAAAACCTTGTAGCCCTGTGGTTCACATTAGTCCGGGCCCGGAATGCGAAGTAGCCATTTTGGTAGAATGGCTTGGGATCCATCATGAAAATTACCCCATTTCCCATCTGCGCCAAAGGACCAATCGTCCAGCGCCACGCCACTTTAAGGTGAGCTGCTTGGACAAAGGCCTCGCGAAGTGTGAAGACCACATGTCCTGAGTTTCTCTGGAGGATTGAAAATTTGATATCCACTTTTGATGTTCAGTTTTGTTGTAAAATAGTGATGTGATCCAATTGGAAAGATGGTGATGGTGAAATAGTGATGTGATGTGATATCCAATAGTGAAGATTTCACCAATTGGAAGATCATCCCGTACCCCCTGTGAAAACACCAGCCATGGTCCCTATGGAATGTATGGAATGTGGAAATCCCCAACAAAAAACCATGGTTTCTAAGGAAGTGTTTAATATCAGGGGGAAGGGATTAGTGATGTGATCCAGTTTTGTTGTATAAATTACATGATTTTATATCGAGATGTATATGTATAGATAATGGTGCCATTATAGCCCCAGCTTTTTTTGGTGGTTGAATCAAAATGATAGACCGGTACTAAAAAACTCCCTGCCATTTTTAGCTCACCATAATCTAAGTCCAATGAGTTTCCGAATGTTCCGTTTTTTTGCCGATTTTTTCACGAGTTGCTTGACATCTTTGGATGGCAATTTGCCTCAAAAAACCCCATGGTTCTTTTGGAATCCCTGGAAGCCAACAAAAATCATGGCTGCTGAACGGTTGCTCCAAGCATCCATGGCAAAGAGCAGGCTCCGTGGGGACTCCGCAGGGATTTCCTGGCCCGTTAAGCGGATGGGAACCGGATCCCAGCTGGGTCTAATGTGACTTCCTAACAAAAAAACATGGCTTCTGGGAAGTGTTTAACGGGGGAAGGGATTCCTCCTTGATTTGGACCAAAAACATCTATGAAGTTGACGATGGATAACAATGGATGCTTGAATCATTTGAGATAGAAAATGTCACCAACATCAAAAAAGGGGGAGGTGCAATCCAACCAAGAATGCTCCGAAGAAGTGGCTGGGGTATAAACAACAGCAGCATCGTTATGGTTTTCCACCACTGGCATGTACGTCTGAAAAACCTTGGGATGCCGTGTGCAGTGTGTTTCACAGAAAACGGTTAGAGATCCTGCATTCCAGCTATACATGGAGTCTAAAGGGATTCCCTTTGGGATTCTACCCTCTGGTAAACTAACATAACTAAGGAAAATCACCATTTTTAATGGGAAAATCCACTATTTTTATAGCCATTTTCAATAGCAAACTGTTAAATTACCATAGGGTCATACAATCCCATGAACATATCCCATGAAAACATCACACCTGATTTCCAACGGCAGTCTTTTCCGATGAAAAATGGTGACACTTCCGATCAAACAACCCCCAGTCGGCTCAGTCCTCCGGAATGATATCTGAAGGTGAAGCTGAAGTAAAATCCACATCCTCGAAATGAACAAGTAGGAACAAGTCAAGTTTGACATATATTTCCAGTGGCTTTTGAACGAAAAAGGCCCAAAAATCATGAACCACTTCGCATTTTTTTTGTGAAACCATCACATTGTTGGTAATCGTTTTTTTTTTTTCCTTCGTAAATTCACTTCTAATATAACACTTACAATATCCCATGATATGAATCCCATCATCTCAAAATCATCTGTTATATCCCATCAGATATCCATCATCATATCCCAGTATAAATCCACCTGAGATAATATCCCGTCATCTGTTTATGGGATGATATCATTAAAAAACATATTCTATATACTTATTTATGAATCATCCATGTAACAATTGTCAACGATTATTCATTGTATCCGATCATCCATAAGATCCCATTTGCAATATCCCATTACTATTTCATGAATATATATATATATATGTATAATGTATGTATATATATATATACACTTACATTATTACCACACAATAATTAGTTGATATGCAATCTATCAACATATATATATATATATGCACACACATCTCACTATTCATTTATATGATACCCAAGAATATAATCCACTTATGTCGAAGTGATAACATCCCATGATATTCTATATATTTCCATTTATTACCAAAAATAAGTGATATTCTCATAAGTGATATTCTCACAAAAATAAGTGATAATATCCCATCAACCAATAACATCCCAATGTTTTTTTTCAAATTATATAGATCTCATTATAGTTCCCATATATTTCCCATAAATAATATCCCACAGAGGTCCAAACCACAGCCAAGCCAAGCCACAGAGGTCCAAGTGATGGACGTGTTGGAGAGTTTCTGCTTCCTCCGCCGTTCAAAATGGGATGCTTCTGGATGGTGAAAAATGTGAAAACTGGCGAACAATATATGGCATAATGTGAAACACGGCAATTTTTCACATTTTTTTTTTCACATTTTTTCGCCGAAATCTTGATCAATCTCTCTCACTCCAAAACGTGAACGAACCTTTGACACCTCCAGCAGCGTCAATTGATTGGATTCACTCCATGGATCCGATTCCTTGGGTAACCAGCCAGTTGACCATCCCCAGTGCCACCAAGGCGCACCACGTTGAAGGTTTCTTGGCTCGAGAGCCAACCCTCCTGGAGCAGAACACTTTGGATTACTTTGGAACATGTTTTTAATAAAGCCTGAAATAAATATCCACTGAAACAATCTCAACAAACAATCAGTGGAAAAACAACCCATTGCCATGTTTCTTTGGACTTTGGGACATTCCATTAGCCAATTTTGGTGAGATTACAATTTATGTAGGTTGCCAATACCAATTTTTCTTGCTGGTATACCCAAACGGATCTCTGAAAGTGGTTTCCCGTTACTAAGCCGGTTTTCATTGGTGACATCCAAATAATATTGATGAGAAAGCTTCATCCACCCAATTATATGGAAACTAAAGGTATATGTATATATATATATGCACACCATAGGGGAAATCCCATTGTTCTTGTTGACTCCAATCCAATCTTTTTTGGCTACCCAAAAGATTTACACAGCATTTTGTTTGTTAACTCAAAAAATATCTCAGGCTTACACACTTCAACCAGGATTTTTTCTTCATGTACTGTGTATCCATGTGTCTCCCATGGTTCCCAACTTGTCCCAACCGCTCCCCATAGAGGAGGGAGGCGCAGCGATCTCCGGGCAATCGGCCCTGAGGCCCCAAGCCTGGAGCCAGGATGGACTGTGAGATGTCAACCCACCAAAAGTCCATCCTGGTTGAGGAAAGATGGGTATGTTATCAATAATTATCCATGTGATCTATGAATATGATATATTCCACATAGTGGAATATATGATGGAAGAATGGGAAGATATAACATATGGGAAAATATCTTATGATCTACAAATGACTATGGAATATATATATAATTATATAACAGCCACATAATGGGTCTATGATGGGCCAATCCCCAGCTTCTCGCTGCACCTGTGCGCGCCAGAGTCCTCAGTCTGCGTCGATCCTAACAGGGCAGCAGCGTTGGCGTGAACCAGCCGGGCTGATCTCCCTCCTCAGCAGGATGCTAGGGTGTTCACCATGGGCCAAGAAATACGATAAATGATGAGGATATTACCATATTAATTACCATTGAAAAATGAGCACAATGAAGTGATATTTAGAACGCCTAGAGATCTTCTGATTGAAGCATCAACAAAAACTGGGTGATTTCCATCAAACTCTTGGGAGCTTATATGATGGAAATCAACAAACATGAGGATCTAATCAACACATATCTCCTTTACCGGGGTTGCTTGAGAGAACATCTACATGAAACCATGGTTTGACACCTTCCAAATGTAGGCTTGAAAAACAGATTCCCATCAAATTCATTCTAGGGGCATGAGGTTTCCAATTGCGTATGAAGCTGAAACGCCACCATTGCTTTTTTTGGACTCTATCCAAACTACAAGCAGGGCATCCGAAGAACCGAACTTATCAGTTGCTACCCCCCGCCTGCAGTGGAATGAGCACCCTTTGATAGGTTTCCTGAGCGGCGGTGGATCATAACCAACAAGCTGCCTGGTCTTGAATTGAATGTGAAATTAAAGCAGTGCTCCAAGAAGCAGTGCGATTTCAATCAGTAGGCTTTCCTTCCCCTACTGCTTTGTCCGTCTCTGTACTTCCTCCAGTCTCTAACTTCCAGACCAAAGAGCAAGTTGCCGTATCACCGCATTGTCTCACCCCAGCTGGCACACAACCACATGGTGTACAGAAAAAATCTAATGCCCTACTTGAATCCCTATCGATATTCTCCTAACTTTCTTTGCTGTTTCGCAAGAACTCCTAATTTTGCTGCTGAAATCTTCTTTTTCCTGAGTTGACTGTTGGCTAAAATCCAGATTCTTTGCTATGTAGTAGTGAAACTCCACCTTCAACTGTTTCACTTCCCATCTGATAACATCCCGTTTCCTTCGGGCCAAACCTGCATTTTGCTTCGACGACCAACATATTTTTTGTTGGTCAGAATGCCTTTAAGGCGATTGGTTGGTTTCATGAAGTTGATCCACAAGATCCAATCGTTGCTATTCCCTCCATTTCTTCCGGATTCATCAACACATCTTTTGGTTCATCCCCATTTTGCTACAGGATTCTTGCTGCTTGGATGTGTACTGGCTCATAATCCATACACAACCCATTAATCTATTCACGGATATTCCATATACATGTGGGGCTGGACTGGCTTATTTCATGTGCTTATTACCCACTTAGCCTGGTTTCCGACGGTATCATGTTATCACGTATTATCATGTTATCATTTTATAAACGGTAATTATCGTATTATCATATTATCATGTTAACCCAAGAACTGGTAAACAACTGGTTCATTGCAATCGTTTTTTTTTTTAAAACTGGTCTTGCTAGTTCAGTCACAAAGCTTGATCTTTGCCATCCCATCACCGTCGCCTGTGCTGAAGCACTAAGCCGCTGGAGCGTGTCGCTGCGCAAACGCTGAGCGATGGGCAGCCGAAGGAAGCCTTGAGTTGCTGAGGTTTGGAACCGTTCGGTGAGCCAACCCAAACCGTCCAAAAAACAATGGGAGGATATACTTGGAAGTGCAGTTCCGGTTATAAATGGATAGATTTCAGCATCTTTATAGGGCACCCATATCCCAACTTATGGTTTATAACCATGGTTATACCCTTTTGCAACCTCAACTGCTCCCCCAACCCAATAACAGGAAACCTCGCAGGATGGGGAGAGACAATCCTGGAACCAGCCTGGATGTATGGTGGGTGGTCACAATCATTGTTACACAGTTCCTGGCCAGGTTATCTATTTAGCTCAACTATGGGACTTCATATTTCTGGACTATATAGTTTTTTCTTTTCTAAACCATCCCATTCTATATTTGTTCCCAATTTACTGCAGGGGCGACCATAAAATGAAGCTGGCTATAGTGGATATAGATGGGAACTTATGGGGGCTAAGCTGGCTAAGCCTGGGGGTTTGTAGGGATATAGAATGACGTATCCGTGTACATATACCTATAGATTGGTTTGGATCACCTTTTTTTAATCTGCATGGATCGGGGCTACGGATCTTGATCCGGACCTCAAATTTTTGAGCTGCAGCCATATTCTCATGAGGAGATTAGATGGATCCACTATAAAATCTGTTTGATAATGCACTATGCTTAGTGGAACCACTCATCCCAGAACTATGAATCAAGTTGTGTGTTTGAACACTAAGGGCACCGCAGGTTGCATTAATATCACGGATACTGAGCCCAAACCAGGCTGACATCAAGCTATCTTGGTAGAAATGCAATGTAGTCGAACATGTGGTTAAATTGAACTGCAGGTCGATTCATTCTACGTCGCTCTTTCTATCAACATCATATGCGCGTAAGTATACCTATATCATGTCTATAAGTACAAACATCCAGCCATGCTTCCGCACATATCTATCATTGTCTATTTAACATCTGCACACATCATGTCTTTCACCAGATCTACACTGGTTGGTGGTTTCAATCCCTCTGAAAAATCATAGTCAGTTGGGATGATGACATTCCCAATATATGGGGAAAATAAAAGTCATGTTCTAAACCACCAACCAGTACATTATTCTCTATGAAAATGATCACCGAGCATCGATGCTGATTGAGATGCGTCAATCGATCACCCGTGGGTCCACCGTGGCCCAGGCGACGTTCAAAGGGTCGCACTTGTCCTCGTTTGAAAACGACTTGAAACATAGACACAAATAGCGAGCCATTTCTCAACTGGACGATTTTTTGAAAAATTGGAGGTGAAATATGGTGAAATATGTCTCGAACATATAACGTTTATATGGGTTATCTGATTTCTCTAACTGGAAGCTGTTTCAGTTAGCACCTATGGACCTATTTCCCCTTTCCAACCTTTCCAACCTTTCCAACCTTTCCAAGCTTTCCAAGCTTTCCAAGCTTTCCAAGCTTTCCAAGCCCATTTTGCGGCGCGTTTTGCGTCGGAGTCTCTTGCAAAGACTCGGGAGATGTATTCCTGTGGCGTCTTGGAGATCTGGATCAACTCACAGAGCATCTTAGCCCATTGCACCTGCAACACCCCGAGGGTCCTATCTTTGAGAAAACATGGCTTTGTCCAAACATGGGCTTCCCCAAAATTCCATGGTTTATCAGGTTTATCAGATTATCGTATTTACAGTATTCAAATGAGACTTTGAGGTTCGATTTCCAGTTTGAGACTGCGCTCTCACTGTGTGAATGCCGACGCTATGTGCCACGCATCTGCCAAATCACCAGAGTGGATGAGTTGGAATGATGTACTCGCCTGCTGAGGATTCATGTCGAAGAAATGCACCGTCTTTGGCTTCAGAACCAGCCTCAAGAATCCGAAGTCACAGAAAGCGGAAGGGCCATGCCGCCATGCTGATGAATGGGTTCAAATGCACTATCATCTTCTCATCACTATCATCATATTATATCATACAATCTTACGAATCTTACTTGTTGTCATTGTCTTTGTTGATTGCCAATAGCGTTGACTGTTGGGTTTGAATCCCTGGGGGGGCGGTGACTTGTCAGTCCAAAGACCGCCAGGGAACTGGAACACAACCTGAAATCCAACGCTGGAACCCACTGTTGTGTTGCAATTCTGGGTTACATATAATCTTATAAATATATTTTTGTTGTTATCATTGTGATCATTATGTATTCTTGTTATGATATTTTACGATATCTTATGGTGCGTTGTTATTGTTGCCATTGTCGTTGACATTTTATTTATGATGTCGTCGCGTATAATCTTTCTTCTTATCGCCATTATGGTGTGTTCAATCAGCGTCAACAGGCCACCGACCGCACCCTGCGAAGCAAATGACTGGCGTGCCCCTTCAGGGGCCAATTTCCATACCGTTGAGTCATTGATTAGTGCTTGGAATGGGGATCCACTCTACCATAAGCAGCTGCTCAAGAAGCCTCCAACCATCCAAGGTCCGGCTGTGTTTCCCGACAGAAACTGGAGGGCCACAAAAGAACCCACCACACTTACGAAGCGATCCTGAGACCACGAACGGAGCTGCTTGATGTTCGATCCCACAAACTAAACGTCCATGAGATTGCCGGTTTCCCCAAGATTTTACCATCATTTGTGGTGCAAGGTACAGCAAAATCCCATGTCCCATGGAACTTCTTGAGGCAAAGGGCGATGGAAAGATACTTGGCACGAACCAGGCTCAAGATACTGTGCAACGTCTCACCGTAGGGATCATTGGAGCCTGGGATGCCGGCTCTGACACCGCAAAATGACATGGCTAGAAAGTTGAACACATCATTCGGGTCATTTCGGGTACCTAAAATGGAGGGACACTGTACCAGTTTTTGCGCCAGATGTTTGGGGCTTTAACCACAGCGTACATTTTTTAAGCGCACAGAATCTCACAGGTCGCAGCACCGAGATAACAGTTGGACCAGCCAGAGAAGGTGGTGGACTCCTTCTTGCCATTGCCATACCTGGCCCAAATGACCCCATTCCCGAAGGCAAAAGCTGGAGGTCTTTGGATCATGGTTTCCATGGCCATTTTCACTGGCTTGAAGGGAACATCTGAAGGACATCGTTTTTGCCATCAGATGTATTTTTTTTGAGAAGGAAACGCACATTAAACATCATTAAACATCATGAAACTGATTCTGGGCTGTTTTGAAACATGTTGAACCCGTCCGTTTCATTGCGGGGTAGCGTCGCACCCTAGCGGTCGAAAGGGGCGGGTGCTACAGCGCCGCGCGCGCCGTGGCTGTCCTTGGCAGCGAAGCTGGGTCTGTTGGCTGATGCAAAAAATGGATGTAGCATAAAGAAACATAATGAGAATCAACATTCAACATGATGCTTAAATCCAGAGACATTCAGATTCTGTTCGATGATTAGATACTTTGGGTTTCAAGACAGAGTTAGCAGCAATTTCAACATCTGCAATTCGGAAAGAAACAACACGCGTTGATGTAAGTGTCAGATTGGTCTAAGGCCCATGATGTACCAACAGAATCGCTGGGCACTTTGCAATTTGACACCGTTTCATTTCGGGTCCCCAAACGACTTGACCCAGCCCTGTTTCCAATTTGATCCTCAGAAACCCAAAGATGCTGGTCATAACTGTCATAACTCTGCACCAAAAGGCATCAAAAGGCTACTCTGAAATCAGCCCCTTTTGGTGAAATCTGCACCGCAGCTTTGGCGGCTCGTGTCGGCAGCCCCTCCATGCTGGAGGCCAACATATCCCGAGAACGACCCAGAGGGCCATCTCTCCATATTTGAAGGTTCATCGAGTGGCCATTCTTAGATATCCCCCCAACAAAAACACCACTGAGCTAGGTATCGACCCAAAGTGGTGTCCCCTAGATGTAAGTTGCTTTATGTTCACCCTAACTGTAGTTGTTTCATCACACACCCAACGATTTATCTGACAAACTGTGGCACCAACTTGTGTGGCAAAACATGAAGCTACGCTTTGCCAGCTACCCAGCTCTTCTCTAGGCATCACTGTGACATCACTGTGACATCAGGGTCTCAGGGATCGAAAAATCATGGCAACCACCAGAAGACCGCAGATGTTGCTCCTCAGTAATTGTGCCATAGATGATATAGCAGGGTAGTTTATTTAGATCAGTCGTTTTTGGCGAAAGAATTCAATAGACTATGAAACTACCCTTCACCAAGGTTTAGGAAAGGACTTCCAGTGGGCTCAGTTGTCCCATAGAATTTCCCTATGGTCTGGTATGAAAACTGTTACGTCTTCAGAATAGGAACCTGTTAGAAAATCCATCATTTCCATGATCAAGTCGGGTATGGCTCAAAATTGCTATGCGAATGGGCCTACAAAATTGGCATATGGAATTGTATCATCAATTCTGTTGGCTTAATCACTTTCACCCACATGATTTGATATTTAGAACGAGTTATGTCTTCTGAATGGATCTTCATATTTTGATATCTAGATATTCTGGGCCCAAGGTCGCAGTCCAAGTGGCAAAAGGACGTACAAAGCAGCCGTGCCATACATTCCTTTCCTCCAGGGGCAAGATCTCGATATCCCTAAAATCCATGGCTTATCAATGTTTATCCTCGTTTTCCCCATTAAAAGGAGGGGATTTGTGGGCTTGCTCCATTTTTGGACTAATCCAAATGATTCTGCCAGCAATGTGCTATCCCCACCGGTCGCATGGGCGTCTCAAGCTGATCGACCTGATCTTTTCTTTCAACATTTTCAACCATCGCCAGTGGTTAACAATGGTTAACAGCTCATATCTGGGGAAATCATCTCCTTTCCAAGGGTTCTATAGCTGCTATAGCTGCCCTATGGCCAACAAAAGCCCGTGACACGATGAAGTTTTGAAGCAGTGGCAGTGGAGTTTGGAGGTTTCCATCTCCCAAGCTCGGTCCTCATCAGCTGCACTGCTTCCACGGCAAAGGTGGAAAATGTGGTGAAGCCTAGGTGTCAACCGGGATAGAATGGGGAAATAGAATGGGAAAAAATGGTAAAAGGGGGATGCTAGGACATCCCAAGGGTTTATGTTGGTTGTTATGGTTTTTATGTTATTGTTCAATGTTTCTTCCTTACCTTTGATGTTTTATGTGGTGGGGGTTTTGGGACTATTTTGCCCCTAACTTTCACTTGATGGTTTGGTTTAAGATGAGGGGGATAATTGTTTAGGCTGTTGGGTTTATGTTTGTGTTTGGGTGGGTGATTACTTCATAATATGTTTTGTTAAGATATTATGAATTAATCATTTATGCTTTCCACTTTCCTATTCCATCCCACCAGTGTTCAATTATCCTGACTTGACTTGTGATAGTTGGCTTGTCTGTATCATTTAAAATTAGTTCATCTATTGCTAATGCTAATAGAGTTTGATTTATTGCTATAGCATCCCATTTTCCATCACGGTTAAGTTCCTTACCACATTCAACGATAATTGTTTTGTTAGTGAGGTTTTCATACATTCTTTCTATAATGTCAAATCTCATAAGCGAAAACAATATCATTCCATTTATTCCTTGGTCGTTTTTCAGCCTATCAATTACTTTAAACCACCAGTATTCTCCTTCCTCATCATCTGGTGAAGGCATAGGATGACACTTTACAAAGTCTCTAATCTCTTCATCTTCTTTTTCTATTGCTTGTCTATCACATTCGTGTTCATCTTCGCTTTCACTACCAAAGTCAGCATATAAACCGATATTACCTATATCTATAACCTCAATTTTTGCTTTACTCATTTTCTCTTATTATATATAGATTTTTTTTCTTTAAGTTTTTACCACTTTTTGTAGATACTCTTTTATTTCTTCTATGTTCAAATATTTCTCATAACCATTGAACAGTTCTTCGGTGTATTCACGAAAAAATATTTCCAAAATGTCTTTTACCTTAAACTCCCTATTTCTGAATGTATAAGTCCAATCGTTTTGAGGAAACCACCACTCACGCTTGTTTTTACAATATGTCATATATGTAAGGTCATGAAAGTTTTTAAGGAAGTGATAGGTAGTTTTCCACTCCTTTTTCACAAAAGACTTAATCGCCATTAAGAACAGTTTGTTGTGTTTGAATTCTTTCTTGAGTTTGAATGTATCCATTGAAACATCAATTTCTCTTTTCATTTGCCGAGTGTTTGTTCGGTTCGTGTTGGAGGAATAAATAGGTGATTTCTCCATCCTTGTTTTAAAGAAATAGATTGTCTTTTCTGCTCTCGTCAGTTTTTTATCATTAAAATAGTCAAAATGATAATTGAAATCTATGTATCTACGCTCCCTATCGTTTAAGTCTTTACATTTTGAACAGTGAAGGTTGTAATCACATATCTCATCACAAATTCCAGCAGGAAAAATATTGTTTAGTAAAACCTTAATGTCAGTCATTTCTTTCTTACAACATCCACAGTTTTTATAAGTAAATAGCATCCTCTTACTATATATAGGTAATTTTTCTTTAAGTAGTTTTTGGGGTCTCTTTCAGTTTTTGGGTTTTCTGTTGTCCCTTATCCACTGTAATCGTTTCATTCGTTGTGTTTCACTACTATCACTTTCATATTCTTCATCTTCAGGTTCTTCTTTCTTGTCTTCATTTCTTACTTCTTGTATCATCCGTCTTATTTTGTCTATACCGTGTTCTCTGTCAAATCCTTCCATTACATTTCTAACTTTTTCAAGACCGATGTGTCGTTCAATCTCTTCGTCTGTCATTTGTCGGAATTGTTCTTTATACTCTTCATCATACTCGTCTGCCTCCTCATCCTCAAAGTTCATAAACATTTCCATTCGTTGCTTTTCCATTTCCAGAAGTTTGTTTTCCATTTGTTGGAATTTCATTTGTTTCTTGCCACACTTTCCACAAACATTCACGAAGGTTTTTAACAAATAATTCCAACTAGGTTTTTTGTCATCACCATTGTTTAAGGTGATACACTCGCTCATAATACGACATCCACAGTCAAATTTAGTCATCTTACTTCTTCTTACTATATATAGGTATTTTTTCTTTAAGTATATTTTTTTATTGCTGATAATTTTAAAAATCTAATATTATAATATATGGCAAGGAGACTATCAAGAGATGACATCATAAGCAATGTCTATTACAATCTTGAAACGGGCTTCGGTTCAATCAATGAGACCCTTAAGAAAGCCAAGGAACAAGACCAGACCATCAACAGGGTGGATGTGGAAAACTTTATGAGGAAACAACCCAACAAACAGATTAGAAAATACAGGGGTTCAAACTCCTACACCGCGCCCTTCGCAAGGTTTGAATATCAGATTGACATAATGGATATGAAACCCCTTACCAAAGAACCAGAGACGAAAATTCCAATCAAGAACGACGAACCGAGATACGGGTTGGTGGTCATTGACATCTTCAGCAAGTTGGCAAACATCGTCCCTATGAAAGAAAAATCCGGACCAATTACATTATCGGCGATGAAAGAGAGTTTCAACAAAATGGGTTTTCCGATGTCCGTTTATAGTGATAATGACCGTGCTTTCCAAGCAGGGGTTAAAGACTTTTTTGAGAAAGAAGGCATCCCTCACGTCGTCACTCTAACACACGCTAATTTTGTGGAGCGTTTCATAAGGACAATGAAAAATATGATACACGATAGAGTTAGGTTTAATCGCGGTAGTTGGACTGTGATGTTGTCCAAAGAGTTAGATAAATAAACGACACCGTCCATTCATCCACCAAAATGAAACCCAAGGATGCCCACGACGACAAGAACCATATGGACGTCAGGGTGAATTTGACAAGGAGGGAAAAGAACACTCGCAAATATCCAGAGGTGAAAGTGAATGATATGGTGAAGGTCTTTGAGAAGAAAAAAGACAACTACACTGAGAGGAAGGAGTATAACTCAAAGTGGAGCAATCAATCCTACAAAATCGTCAAGATAGAATACGACGATGTCAGAAACAGAACCTTCAAACTGGAAGGATTGAACAAACCATATTTGAGGCATGAGATTTTGAAAGTATAAACAATTATCTATAATATTAATATATGACAGAGGTGGTCGTAAAAGAGATTGATAATGAAGACCCCAAGGAAGAACCAATACCAGAGCCAATACAGGAAGAAGCACCGAAAGAAGAGGAGAAACCAGAAGAAATAATTGAACCACCCGTTGAAGAGAAACCACAACCAGCGCCAAAGCCCAAAAGGGTAAGACCGTCAAGGGCAAAACCACCTTTTGACCCAGAGGCATTCAAAAGCGACCTTGTAAAACAAATAAAGGAAGAACTACAAAGTGCAATGTCCGCCAGAGACACCTACAACAAAGCCAAAGAGGAAAAGAACAAAGCGACGAGAGAGAAATTGAAATCTTTAGCATCAAAATTTTTGTAAAGTACTATATATAAAAATGAACATCAAGGAACAGAAAATAGAACTCAACAAAACAGACATCTACGAAAACGTCCGCAAGGACATCAACAGAAGACAAACCGTCCATTCAAACAAAAGTGCCAACTACCGGAGCGGAACGCCCGAAATGCCAGACAGAAGAAAAAAAGTGTATAGTAGTTATGACCACTACTACCACAACGACAGCAACACGTCAAGGATGCCAACTCACAACCATCATCTTTACCTAAAGCGTCTTCTTGAATATCACAACACCGAGCACGATTACAAGGTCTTACAAGTAAAGCAGAGGATGAAGGAAGAGAATGAGATGCTACAGAACGAAATGACAAGGTTGAGGGAGGTGAGGAAAAATCACAGATTGGAAGATTACGGAGCGAACGTCCAGAATATGAAACAGAGAATTGATGAATACAAACAGTGGTTGAGAGGCGATACACAAGATTAATATAAAAATCTCAACTATTAATATATAGCAATGACAGCAGAAGTAATCAACGCAAAACAGGGATTGACACGAATACCCACTTATGCGGAACTCATCAAGGAAATAGACAGGGAAAAGTTCAAAACCAATGACATCAGAAAAATATTTGATAGGAACGCTTGGTATTTTCACGAAAGTCCACAGGGTCAAGCACTGAACACAAACAACATCCACCCAGCAGACTTACAGCAAATGAACTTCAAAAAAATGGCAGAGGAAGCGACCGCGAGGAAGGAAGAAGAAACACCCAACCTTGACTTTGAAGATATGACAGACTTGAGGGACGACGCCATCAGCGACTTTGAGATGTCCTTTGACAGAGAGGCAGAGTTGAGGGAAGAGAACGAAAGGAGAGTAGCAGAACAAGCAAACTTAAGTCATTCACAAGACCACTATATGGCAAACAAAGGGGCATACGACGCCGTTGGAGCAACAGCATCGGCAGGGATACAAGAAGACGAAGAACCGCCTTCAAGCAGTAGAAGCATCTTAAAGAAATTCCTTAAATCATCCAAACCAGTCATCAAAGCAGTCGCCACAGCAGGAGGAACAGCAAAGGGAGGGTCAATAGGAGGACTAATAGCATCAAAACTGACAGACGCCATCATACCCGACGAAGACGAGGAAGAGAAACCGTCCAAGATAAAACCAACACAAAAACTAATCAACAAACAAGTCAAAAAGGTAAATCACCAAAGGAAGTTAAAGGAGGAAAAGTCAAAAATGAACGTGGATGTAGTGCCCGATGTCAATGAACCAATGGACACAACCGCAATACCAACAGCAGAAAAGAGGAAACCCTTAAGCGTGAGACAGTCCAAAGCAAAGAGGCAGAAACCAAAACCGCCAACGCAGGAGAAGAGAGAATTTCAGGAAGACCCATCCACAACCACCAAACCACCCAAACCAAGAAGAGTAAGAGGAAAGCAACCCCAACCACAAGCATTAGGAGCAACAATCAACATCCCCAAAGACAACAAGACACCCAATGTAGATGAAGCAGAGACAGCACAGGAAGAAACAGGGGCGTCATCTTCATCAAAAGCACGAGTCAGGAAACCAACAATGAACAAAGCAATATCA